TTTTTTTACGTGAGGTAGAGTGTTTTTAATTATTCAAAACAGTTAAGTCATTGGCCGTTTTTATTCATGCACAGATATTTGAATTAATAGTAACTAGAATAGTATAGATAGATAGAAAAAAGGAAAAATACAATAAAAGAAACTTTTTTTCAGGCATTTTAAAATGCTTTACTAAGCAATAATAATCGATTATTTTATATTTATATTCTATTATTCTATTCATACTGATTTAAAAAAAACTTGCTACGTTATTTTTTATAGCAACGTCATTTAACATAAATAGATATATGAAACTATAAAAGCTTATGAATCCAAACAAAACTAATTGCGTTAAAATGTTCTATTTAAAATATGGACCCGTGCATTTAACTGTTAATTAACGCGAACCATCTTATCCGATGCACACACCCGGTTAAACGAGCACGAACTAATATTATTCATTTATATGAGCAAAAGTTTGTTAAATTTAAATTAACGAAAATCCATCTTTGACTTAACACTTGTACGAAATGCACAATTAAAACAGTTGATCGTTGTCGCCCGTTTGCCAGTTACGTTTATATTAATATAATATGAATATAAATACAGATATACATAAAAGTCGTACACCATATTGTTTGCCCTAAACTTAATTACTGCATTGTCGGTAACTAGAATTTAACTTTTCACCCAAATGCATGTGTTATCTAGTATACTTTGTATAAAGTAATTATGTGTAAATTTTATGTTCTAAATAATTGGAAATTATTTCCAATGGGGATTCGTTAATTATTTGGTTGTTGTACACGTCGCTGTTATGACACAAAAACACTACACTCCACTATCAAGTTCTCAGAAGGCAAACCGAAAAGAAGCACTAAGAAAAGGCTAAGCCAACCTCATATGGAACATGCTTAAATATAAAAATTATTTAGCATTGAAAACTTAAAACGTAAAAATCAAAATCATATTGTCTCGGGCGCGATACGGCACGCGGTCCTTATCGGTAGTACCTTTTTAGACGTATAATTGCGCGTGCTATATTATTTTTACTTTTAAGCAACGTTGTCTAGTATATAGACCCATGATAAATCCGTACGATACTCGATTATAATAAATTATTTATTAGTTAATGTTGTTGATATCAGACAAACTTCCCATCACTGAGAAGTAATTGATTTTATTTTAAATAATGCTTTTTATAAAGAATCAGAATTATAACTATCTGTATTGTAAATTCCTATAGGTACATGCATGAATACATACCTATACTACAATCATACATTTTGTCACCTAATGATGTATACCTAATTACTGTTAGTTGTGTTTGTGTTTCAACTGTATCACAGTGTTAAATTTTATATTTATTTTTAAATTATATTGGTATTATATCATAGTATTTATATCCAGTGGTGTAGTGAGGAGGTTTTTGGTGTTTTAACCCCTTCCCCCCCCATTGATTTTTATTTAATAATTTGAAATCCATATTTTGAATGACTTTTTTTTTGCTTTCTATGTTCTAGCCCGCTACAATTTTGAGTTATCCATTCCTGGTATATACCTAAACCTTAACCCCCTACCCCATTTAAAAATTCTAGCTACACCACTATTTATATCTGTATTTAAATATTAAACATAATTATAATATAACTTAATTTTTGTTTAATAAAAAAATTGATAATGTCGCACCCAATTTCAGCCACAGTTGTACGCTTTTGTATAGTTAAAATAATATCTTTTTTTATTCTGGCGCCTGCACACAATCGTATACCCAAAAAGGTAAAACACGCACAATCGTACTCCGCCGACTGCTTCATTATAAGTTATACTTAAGTGCATCACAGATATATACTATTTATTATGAAGATGTATAATACTGTAATAGGTAGTAACTTTTATAACTATGTTCGATCATAGACATATTAAGATATACTTGTATAGAAATGTATATTCAAATTTGAAATACATCGATGAATAGATATTTTGTGAAATTATAAAAATAAAATGTATTTTTCGCAATTCATATATAGATATATTGAATACAGATTTAAAATTTCAATTATTTAATAACATTTGCAAAAAAACATTTTTACAACTTTTTTTCTTTATCTTTTCAAAAGTTTTTTCTTTTTTGAATGACAACATACATTTTCAATTTCAGATTGAGAATATTTTTAAGAAATAAAAAAAGAAAAATTTAAAAATGTATGATGATAAAAATAAAACATTTTATTATTTATTAATATCATTAAAAATAAAATTTATTTATACATTTCAACTTACTTATATATAGTAGATATAATATAAAACACTGATTGCTAAATACCATTTATATATTTTATTGGTAAAATTATGTTATAATATTAAAAAAGTACTGTACCTAATATTTATTTACTATATTTGCTCTTTTCCGTTGAAAAATATTGGTTACATCACTGCCCGGATGTTGTACATTATGTCGTGAAATAAGTCATATGTTATGCTTGTTTTTGTTTTCATATGGGTTTTTCGATCTGGAAAAAGCATAGAGATGTGTAGAACATAATGATATATATAAATAAATTATACCCAAGTATGTTTTTCTTTATATTCCTGTAAGATAACATCCAAACAACAATGTTTGTACAACCTTAGCACTCGTGAACTATTATAACCGATATTTATTGTGTTTGCGTGTACAGTGTAGTGAACTGAACATGTGAATAAAACAATTTAATTTGTTTTAGGAGATACTACTCTAGATGATGTTTATTAATTATTATTTTAGTTGTAAAAATCAACTATTATGGAAAATTGGCTGTCCAACCAATTAAAAAAAAAAAGAAAAACTATTTAGTCTATGTACATAAAGTATATGGATTCACATAAAACATGTTCAGATGATATAGTATTTTTATAGCTTCACAGTGGTTATGCCTTAATCTTAAAATAAAAGTTATTTAAACGATACTTAAAGGTTACTGTGCTTTTAACATGGTTGAAAAGTATTTTTCCCTTTTAACACTTTTCTTTATTAGGTATTTAAAAATATATTCAAGGTGAAACATTTCACGTTATCATCCTTGGATAATTGAACTCGGTGTAAAAGAGAGTTTCAACAATAAATAGTTTAAAAAAATTATTTTTTGTGGAAAATGTACATTTTAAGTTAACTGGTAAAACATTTTTTTACACTTAAATACTAAAAGTATATATATTACAAAGCTTTTCTGATCCACCTAAGCTTCTCAAACTTTATTCTTTAAAAAAAAAACCGGCTTTTTTGTATATAACATAGGTAGCCTTTAAAATTTTAAATTAGTGAGTAGGCTGCAATTACGGAGGATATTAAAGTTAAATTTATATAAAATGATTTTTAACTAACAATGTGATGTAACAAAATGTATTATTCAACCGAAAACATTTTATTAACAATATACACCTACTTAGTACCTACCTGGCTACCTTTATATTGTAGCCATCTACATACTATATTTAATATTGTTAATATTTAATTAAAAGTAGTCCGAAATGTTCAAATACTAATAAACACGTAATAATAATGATGACAAATCGGTTATTGTATGATTTTGGTTAGGTGTGTTTTCATGCAGACGTTAATAGCAATATTCTCGTTTTTCATTTATATGTTCATGAGTTAAATATTTTACATTATACATTCTTCGATGTATCACGTTATTACTTAAAATTAATATATTTCGCGATTTCGCAATATGTTCACGGATTTAATGGATCACTTGTATATTTAGGTATATTCTTAATACAACAACCATTCAAATGCATATTTTAGATGCGTAATTATGACTTAAGGAGTATAATATCCTTATTATTATTATGTTATCTCGTATAGTTGTATTTTACGGCACTCAGCCGTGTACTATATAATAGTGTAATAACATTATAATGTCGACAAGTCTTCAGGTCAGAACACCTTAGTTAAATTTTATACAAAAAATTATACATGAATTATTGCGTTCCACTATAATCGCTAAATAGAACTGTAATTTTTTTCGATTTTAGGTGTTCTCTGAGGGTTATTTATAAATGGATTATACTCTGATAATATGTTTCAAGATATAATACATGATATTATTATAAATTACGATAAATATGGATGGGACATGTTTTTCAAATAATTAATCATATCTATCTTGAAGTAAAAAAAAAAAAATATCAAAATTACAAACGAAATCAAATTAAAAAATAAATTAAAATAAAATTATTTTGTTAGAATTCCTAAAAAGTATAATCCTTTAATTTTTAACTGGCATGTTTAATAGATTTATGATTCTATAATTTGTATTATTTATATTCATTTATTTTATTATATTATTGACCGTATGTTGATTAAATTCAATACGTATATTTGCTTTTTTTTACATTACAATTAAATATCCAATAAACAAATTATAAATAATTTTTTATTTAATTATTAATTGTATAAGAACCCCCAGAAATATATAAAATGCATTCCAAATCTCTTGGGAAGTAATTCGAATATGCCTTTTTTACGAAGCACAATTCATGTATACCCATACAGTATATTGTAGAATGTCAAATACCCATTCTCCTTCCCCGCCCAAAGGCTAGACCAACACACGTACTCATAGTTTATGAATTCTCGTCCTATGATACGGAGCTAATTACCGTGCGAACTCTAGTATAACATAACCTTCAGTTCAAACAAAGTGTTTTTTATCTTCTTTTGACATTCAACCGAAGAATGTGTTGTTTGTAACACGACAAAGCAAGCTCGAAATACATACATCAAGTCGAGTATACAGATGAACCTGTTCTCTGGAGAGTTTCTCGCACACATAATTTTTCTTCACTTCGTACCATTCGACTATCTCATCGCTAACTCACTAAACACCTAAAACTCTTGACGTGTAATCCATTCTACGACACAACCGCTATCCAATGTTCTACTTGTATTATTTGTCATAAAATAAATATATTTCTAATGACGTTGTTATATGGAATAATATATACATTTAATTTGAGTTTTTTAAATGTTTCAGATAAACGTCAACATACACATTCTAAGAGAGTAATGTTCAACACGTTTTTGGATAACGTCGATTGAGGTAAGTGAGTTTCATTTTGAAAAGAAATGCATTCAATTTTTTATTACATATTATACGATAAAAAATATATAAATATGTGACATATTGTATTTTTTGGGGTACCTGCAGAGTCTATGAACGTTGTGTAATTTTATATAAAACTAGAATCACCATTCCATACCGCCAAAATTTTAAAACCTAGGCATTTGAGATTTTTGATTTAATAAAACATAATATTATGTTCAATAAATTCGATTGTAGGTAAACAATGAAAAAATTATATAAAGTTTTAGATCAGACAAATAAATAAAAAATAATATAAGAGATACAAGCTAAAGTTACAAATCAAATAAAATATTCACATTGTACGTTATCTATAACCATATGATCGTATGCGTGTATCCGACATGTCCCTGGGACGTATACGTACGTGTGTGACATAACATGTCACTTACTCGTACGTTATCGCAAACGGGAATGTATGGTAAAGGCTAAAACAGTCGTTATTGACTTATCCGTGGAAGGAACGAAACGATTAGAAAGAAAAAAAACGATAAGAACAATAACGCTATGTCTCCCGATCGATCAATACTCGATAAACGTACATGGATCGTGGTGAAAGCGAAGAGGGATGGGCGTGTGTAGTATAGGCAAGTATTCTTCATCTATCCACAGCGGAAATTGATAATTTACGTGATTTTCCCGTTTTTTATTTTCGTCTAAAACACGATTCTGTACCTTCGGCGCATTGCCGTCGACGGTCTTAACAGTCATGCATAATACAATCTAAAACGACCTCATCCGATAAATGGAGTCGTCAACGTTACTTCTGTAATCGGTGATAGATAGTCACTATATAAACGACGCACGACCACCGCGTTACATATATCTTAAAAAATCACTATCAACCAAACCGAGCCAACGCGTCATACAATCGTTTTGTAATTTTCAAAGAACCATCGCGGCTTTTGTCAATGCGTGTGTGCAAGTGTGTGTGCATGCTCATAACGACCCGGTCACGAGGGGGTACGAGTGTCGTACGTTTATAGATGGGGGGGGGGGGGGGGGGGGGGGGGGGGGGCGGGACGTTATCGCTTTCGAATTTGAAACGGTGACGACGACTGCGACGACCGATAACTAGCTTCCGGTCTGTTGTCCCTGTCCCCGGCACGGTGCAAAATGAAACGGAAAACGTCGGTCGGCATCCGGGCTGTAGTGAAAACGGGGATGTAGAATTTTACGCGGTGATGGCACGCGGTGTACGCGTTATTCATCGGACGTATAAATTATACTCTCACGCCGCGGGTCAGGTACGTAGATCGGTCGTGCTCGGCAATACTACATCACGCGTTAAACGGGTGTGCAGTGTGATATGGCTGCGGCAAGGACGTCACAGGTCCAAAAACCGTAAAATAATGATAATATTGTGTTTTAGTATTACGTGACCGGCGGAGGTGACTTAACCACCACGTTAACGTCACGTTAGCCACCGGTTTATTGTTATCAGGATGCAGTTTTTGCTGTATTGTTATTTTTGTATTTTTTTTTTTTTTTTGTTCATCCCGTCGTGAAACCAATGCGAACAGTTACGTTTCTGCGGAATTTATTATTATTTATTAATTTATTTATTTATTTATTATTCCGCGATAAAAAGTTTTCGTTCCGTTCCACCTTGTGCCATCAATACTGCTACTGCCACAGGTCATATTTATTTTATAGCACTAATATTGTAATTTTAAGATCAGTCGAACCTACGAATTCTAAAAAAATATCACTCCCCTATGTCGCACATGCACTAACAATAATACATGCAATACTTTTTTAGTAGTGCGCGTAAAAATTTACTTATGTAATATATATATATATATATAATACATACATAACATGACTCTTCATAACATTTTCCCACACCCTGAAAGTCGTGAGATAATCCTACTTCTATATTATGTATTTTTTTTATTTTTTTTTTGTAATCAACATTTTATTGCTTAGTTTATACTTTGACTTTGTTTTTGACGTAGCATAGATGAGAATTATCTCCGATCGTTATTATTTAAATTAAAAGTCTATGGATTTCGTTAAACTTACTCGCTTTTTAAAATGTGTTTATTTTTCAAACTGTTTATATAGTCATAATGTTCGAATAAAATAAATAAATTATTAATTGCTGCAAGACAAAAGTTTTGTCTAGGGTGAAAATTATATTGGACATCATTATTATAAAAATATTTAACTACGTACTCCGTTGTACATCACATTATAAAACTATATGAAGTTTTTATAGAGAAGTATGGGATTCAAACTAATTATTATGTTTTACTTAATACTAATAACTAAATAAATGTGTATTTTTTTAGTTATATTAACAATTAAATTAAAAATACACTATTTCATGACGAAATCAAGTTTTTTTATTAATCTACATTAATATATTATACATACACAAGCTATATAGATAATGATTCACCGAAAATGATCCCTAACCTAACCTTTAATAACACTTTTATTTAAATTCTGGTTTTTGGAATTTTGAAGTCACTATACCTAAGGTCTATATTTTTTGTTATTTAGTTTTCTATATAATTTTAAAGAGTGTTTCGTGGTGATACCAACTTTTTTTTTTAAATAAGAATATCATCTTTTTTTCTGCAAATTGTCAACCAGATAACTTTTGAATATTTTAAAAGTAACTAAATCGAAATTTAAATGAGTTTTTTTTTTAGTTATTTAATTTTATGTACTAATGGTAAAAGAACAATAGCGATGGGTTTGGAAGATATGAAGCTATGATGATTTGGAAACTTAAGTAATTAATATTGATTTACCAACACTTTATAATTCTTAAATATTATACTATATACTAATATACTATGTATATTAAATTTAATATCACATAATGTATTTTTTTAAATTTGTAAAAAAACCAATTGTAAAAGCTATTATTCTTATAGTATATACAATTTAATAACTGTGAAACTTTTCATTCAAATTTGTTTTAGATAAGTATTAAGTACTTAGACAAAAATTTGGTAAGTTAGTACTATTCTATAATTGTCATTGAATGGATTTCTGTGAAGGTTGTGTCAAATTTAAACTCAATGATAAAATATATCAATATAATGATATTATCATTGTATACAAAAATCAATTCTATAATTTTATGCAGAGGCCGTCTATCAGCTAATATCACTTAGTATATTTCATATAAGGCCTTTGGTATTTTTTTTAAAGTTATTTATTTATTTTATTGATAATACATTAGGTTGAATTAATTTTTACTGAAAACATTGGAATTTTTTTATATTATATAAGTTTATGGCAATTAGCCGGTTAAAATGAAAATAAAAAATAATAAATATATTAAATTTAAAACGTTATTATGTGTAAAAAATATTATAATACGTTAACATTTTAAGCCTCCAAAAAATTTTTTTTTTTTTTAGTTGTAGTAATATAATATCATTCGACGTTGTAATGTTGTTTTGTCTAAACTTTATGTCTATTAAAATAATATATGCTTTTATATATTTTATATTTTTTTGGTTTTAGTATAAATTATTTAAGAGGAACTTGTTATATATTTTCAAGCCTTCGTTTTAAAAATTGAACAGTTTAAAAATTTTCAACTGCAAAATAATATGCAAATTGTTGTGATTTGAAGTACAAACTAGGTATATTTTTTATCAGAAATCATCACCAATGTAAATATGTTTTAACTATTATCATGTATACAATATACATACTATCACATTATTGAAAAATCAATATGTTCATTGCATCACTTAAAATCTGAAAATTATGTACTTAACAATTTAAAACAAAATGGTTGATTTTCATTTGAAATGTGTTTGTATTATCACATGACAGTCTTAAACGGTATAAAAGTTTAAGAAATTAAAAATAATACAGTTCTTAAAAAATGTAATGAACTCCAAAAATTAGAGTTTAAATATATGTTTTATCAATGGAAAAATAAAAATAAGCATACATATTTGGTGAATTACCCTATAAATATAAACTATAACATAATATTCGAACAATTCATATTTTAAAAAGTGTAAAACGTCAATAACAACGTTGTTTCTAAAATTGGATAATGTAAATAATTGTTGACAGATCTTGATTCCATCAAATATGTTTTTTGATGTGTACTAATTCATAAACCGTTTTAAGACGCTGGTATTCAAAGAGTAAAACGTTTCTTTTATTTTTGATAAAATTGCCGTACATTATTATTACGTAAAATCATAACATTTACGAGAAAAACTATTTGTGCCATAAATATCTTAAAGAGTAATGAACATAAGGAAAATGCATCAAGAGAGAAAATTGTTTTTGTTTCCTCTAAGGAAATGAAATGAAATAAATTACGGTAGATTTTTACGAGCAATTCGTGTATATTACATTTTGGGTGCGAAATACTTTTATGTGCCGAGTTATATAATAACCGTCTCAATTGAAACTGGTATTACAACTAGAAGATGAGTAGGTGGGACGACTATAGTGTGATAAAATTCTCGTTTTAATTTTGAAAAATATTTGCATAAACCTAGTCGCTATGTTTATAATATAAATATATATTTAGAATTGTAAATTTCAGTAATATTCTTAAGTTTTGCAAGAGCGCATTAAAAGCATTTACAAAACAAGAGCGACTCGACAATACGCTATATCGTAAAAAAATGGCACTTATTATTATTGTTTTGATAATCAATTTTACTGAGAATGTTTCCCATAATAGTTCTAAATGAATCGAAAATCACAACGAAAAAAACGCTTTTATTATTTGTTTTAAATAATTGAATATAGGCACACATGTTAAATATAGGTGTATATTATAATATACGCGTAACTTGAAAATAGAATTAATGGTACAAAATTTAAATCTCAACAATATGTGACAATAATACGAGTATATGCATAGGGAGATTGTTTTATCTAACAAAATTAATTATTTTACATATATTGAAGTTTTTAAAAATATTTTTCTTACGTATTCTAACCAATCAAAATAAAACATA